ACAAGCGAATTATTGACAATCAAACGAAGTTGCAGACGTTGTGCATAGCCGAAATTGTAGCTTACTCTCCAGTTTCTTCAGTCAACAGCGACAACAGGTATCAGAAACTCCTGGCCAAATTCAAGGACCTGACTTCACCACTGACATTTAATTCGTTGGACACAACAAAAACAACGGTTCAACATCACATTTACACTAGCGGACGTCCTGTTTTTTCACGCGCTCGGCGGCTGAACCCAAGTATGTTACAGATAGCTCGTCAAGAATTCGAGTACATGTTAAGTCATGGAATTTGCACCCACTCGAAGAGTGATTGGGCTAGCCCGTTGAATATGGTTTCTAAAAAGAACGGCACGTGGCGACCATGTGGAGATTATCGACGACTCAACTCACAAACGTTACCAGACCGATATCCTATCCCACACATCCAAGACTTCGCACAAACATTCAACGGCAAGTCAATCTACACTACGATAGACATCGAAAAAGCGTATTTCAACATACCGAATAGCTGCAGAAGACAAAAAAAAACAGCGATCATCACACCATTTGGTCTTTTTGAATTCAACGTGATGACATTTGGATTATGCAATGCCGCGCAGACATTCCAACGCTATATGGACCAAGTTCTTTCAGGTCTAGACTTCGTCGTCTGCTACATTGACGATATTTGTATCGCGTCCAGCAGTGAAGAAGAACACTACCAACATGTCACAACGGTATTCCAACGCCTCCAGCAGCATGGGTTAAAAATTAATGTAAGTAAATGTGTTTTCGCTAATAACGAAGTGACCTTCCTAGGACATCGTGTAAACAAAGATGGTGTTAGTCCTCGAGTAGAGAAAATCAACCACATTACAAAATTCAAAAAGCCAGTACAAACACACGAACTACGTAGATTCCTGGCCATGCTGAATTTTTATCGACGATTTCTTCCCAACGCAGCGGTGATGCAAGGTCAATTGCAAGCGGTTATCAAAGGCAACAAAAAGAAGGACAAAAGTCTTATTGTCTGGACACAAGAAGCTGAGACTGCATTTGAACAATGTAAGCAAGCAATAGCCGACGCAGTAACCCTGGCACATCCACTACCAGAAGCACATTTAGTTCTAAACGTAGACGCCAGTAACTTCGCCGTTGGTGCAGCAATTCATCACGTTTGCAACGAACAAATGAAACCATTAGGATTCTACTCCAAGCGGATGACAGACGCACAGAAGCGCTATAGTACTTATGATCGTGAACTGCTTGCAATATATCAGTCGGTAAAGCATTTCAAACATATTATAGAAGGAAGACAATGTACTATTTTAACTGATCATAAACCGATCATATTCGCTTTTATGCAAAAACCTGAAAAAGCATCTCCACGTCAACTTCGACACCTCGACTTCATTGGTCAATTCACAACGGACATACGTCACATCTCAGGAAGGGATAACATAGTGGCAGATCTTCTATCTCGTATCGAAGTGATCAGCAAAGACGGAGATATAAATTTTGAATCATTGGCTTAAAGTCAAAAAACAGATAATGAGACCAACGATTTCTTAACCAGCAACAATACCGCGCTCAAACTCAAGCTTATAACTATTCCAGGCGCAACAATATCCATCGCCTGTGACATGTCAACAGTGAATGCACGTCCATTCATTCCTAAACCATTTCGACAACACATTTTCAATGTCGTGCATTGCCTTTCACATCCAGGTAAAAAAGCCACTGTTAAACTCATTAGTAAGCGGTACGTGTGGCCGAATATGAATCAGGACATCACTCGAAAGGTACGAACATGCATCCCGTGCCAACGTGCAAAGGTCATTAGGCACAACAAAACAGCAATTGGCAGTTTCACAACGCCAGAACAACGGTTCGCAGCAATACATATCGACCTAATTGGACCACTACCTGCCAAAAATGGATATACATATTGCTTAACCTGTATCGACCGATTTAGTAGATGGCCGGCAGCAATCCCAATTGAAGACATTCATGCTTCAACAGTCGCTACTGCAATAATTAATGGTTGGATAACACATTTCGGAGTACCAACGCAAATCACCAATGACCAAGGTCGTCAGTTTGAATCCCAACTTTTTAACGAGCTGGCACGCACACTAGGCGTAAGACACTTGCGATCAAGTCCTCGCCACCCACAAAGCAATGGCATGATCGAACGCTTCCACCGTACGTTAAAAACAGCCTTAAAGTGTAAAAATGACCAACACTGGACCGAAGTACTTCCACTTGTCATCCTTGCCCTAAGAAATATTCACAAGGAAGATCTGGACGCCACACCCGCAGAAATCGTATATGGTAGCGCACTAAAGCTGCCATGTGATTTTTTTGAGGAAGTCAAAGACGACCAAGTATGTTCAGAATTCGTGAAACGCTTCAGACAAGCCATGAACAACATTCGCCCCGACCCAGTATCACAACATTCAAAGGACAAGGTTTTTGTACAACACCAGTTACAAAAATGTACTCACGTTTTCCTGCGTGATGATGCAGTACGACCACCTTTGAAAGCACCATATGAGGGGCCATACAAAGTTGTAAGTCGGTCTGATAAGACATTCGAACTACTGGTAAAAGGAAAACAAGTACGCGTAAGTATCGACCGCCTAAAAGCAGCATTCTTACCAAACAGCGAACTGAAGGCGAATGTAAACGACACACAACTCTCCGATACAAGCACACCAAGTGAAAATACTGGCAAGGCAACACGAAGTGGAAGAACCACACGTCTGCCCCAAAAATACGTTACCTTCAATCTATCGTGATATCGTCCATAACTCAATCACTGGCAGGGGAGTAATGTGGTGTCCACCCAAACGTATTTATGATACGTAAGTGAAACCAAAGAAGTGTTTTTGTCTTGGTATAATAAACATAATATACCAGAATTTATATTCTGAATAAAGGAAATTTGGATCGTAATTAAATTTTAACAAGGAGTTGAGAAATACAACTCTGTAATTGTAATCCAATGTCAACCTATGTTCCACATGAGGTTGATAAGAATGAAAATGCAAGAGGAGACGAAAAGAATTTGATTGAGCAGAAAAAGTAAAAAGATTTTAGAAAGGTTGTTGGCAAAGTATATATAAGTGAAGATTTAAAAAATTAAGCAAATTGTAACTTTATATTATAAATAAAAAAAGTAAAAATAATTGTCTATAGTAACGACAACACATTTCAGTATATTTCTTTAAATTTCGTCTCTCCCCTTTTAACTGTAGCACCAGCGAAAACAGCCCCCTGATGTGCGGAAAAATTGGCCGCACATTCATACATTGCAAGTGTGTTCGATTTTGTTCGATCACTGCATAAACAAGTACGGTTCTCAATACAAACTTTTGTTTGAAAATATTAGGTTTGATGTTTTAAGAATAAGAAGTATGTAAAAAGTTGTGTTTATTCCATATTGATACAATATTAAACTTATATATACATATGTATATAAATTATTAATTTAATTTGTATGTTAAATATTATTTTGTTAATAAATTGTTAATATTATATTGTAAATATTGTTGAAGTTAAAGCCTCATACAATGTTAATAACACTACACATATATAAATATTTTTGTCAAGCTTTAATAAGCTTTTATTTACTCTTATATAATTAATTTAATAAATAACGACAGTTGTTATAATACACTCGAAAAGAATACAACGCGTTTTTATTTAAAAGGTGTGTTCTACATTTAAAAATCCAACAGGTTATGGACCCAGGCATAACTCAACCAATATGAATTCAATATATAATATTGACAAACTTGATGAAAACAATTACGACTCATGGCGTATCCAGATGAGGAGTGTCTTCAAGGGCTCTAGTGTGTCGTAAGTGAAAAAATGTCTGAAGTGATCAGGGATGGAAAAGATCGGGACATATATGAAAAATGGAAACAGAACGATGAAAAGACGTTGGCAGTAATAAAGTTATCAATAAAAACTGCAGTAATTGGACATGTAAAGAAATGTAATACCGCAAAATACGCTTGGACTGGCTTAAGAGAAATTCAACAGCCCACTGGACTGGCAAGGAAGGTATCTTTATTTAAGAAAATGCTATATGAGTGAGGGTGATTCCATGCAGCAGTATATTCCAAGTTTTGGTTGCTTGTTATAATGATTTTAGTAATTTTGCTAAAAAGTTACGAAAATTTTGTTGTTGCCTTAGAAACACGAGATCAGCTTCCAAAGCTTAGTGATTTAAACACAGAACTATTTGAAGAAAACGAACGGCGAAAACACAATAAAATAGTTGAATCAGACGGTACTGTACAAGCATTAGTTGTTCCATCAGGCCATAAATATTAAAGGAAATATTACAACAATGATCACACCATAAGAAATAGCGGAGGTAAAGAAGATAAGAATTTGAGAAAAATCAGTAACTTTAAATGTTACAAATGTGGGAAGAAAGGCCATTCCACTGCAGAATGGAGATCAAAAGAAACTTCTGTTAAGAGAACTGAAAAAACATATAAACAGCACAGTGTGTCTTAAATGCAAATGCTATATTAAACCGTTTCAATCGTCTCAAAGTAAAACAAAAAATATCTTCGATTTAGTCCATAGTGATGTTTGTGGACCAATAAATGTTAATTCATTAGGAGGATC